ATCGACTAATAAAGCTAAAAAAACCCGGGCAAACTTTTAGGCTTATAAGCCCTCCTTTAGGACAGGAAAAGAACTCATAACCTCGTGCACAGTGGCTTTGAGCTTAACTGGGTTGTGTTGGTCAATCGGCTGGTTTCAGAGGAAAGGTGGTTGAGACCTGTGGAGCAGAGGGAAGCGTTGGCCAAGGGGGAGGTAATCCTGTCCGTAGCCCCCAACTACTTCGGTTGTAGCTACTTTTATTGGCACGGATGTGTCGTATTTTACCAGCTGAATCTCCAGATGGAAATGGCACCTGCGGATTGTTTTGAACAGCGTACGAGAGTCCCTGTGCCGCAGCCCCGTGTCGCTCGGCCGCGGGAGGCTCCGCAGCGGCTGCAGCCAGCACCAGTCCTTTCTGCAGATCCTATCTGCACATCAGGCCGGTAGCTCATAGGCAGCTTCGTGTTTGGGTTTCCATTCAATATTCCTCGGCTTCGGTTTCCAGGACTACAAGCCAACATACAACCCCTCCTCCCACTCCTGTTTTCAAAGAAAGAAAAACACTGTGAAAAGGAGCTACCCGATTTCTGGGCAGTTTTCAAAGCGGGAAGAAAGGCAGCGCCGGGAGCTGCTCGCCCCGCGCACGCTGCTGGTTCTGCTCCGGCCAAGGCTCCCGCCGGCTCCTGGCCGCGATTCTCCGGGTGCTCCGTCCTCGTGCGAACGGGAAAGCGCCTTCCACCCCACCTTTGCCAGTGCAGCGTGCGGAGGAGGAATGAAAAGTTTTTAAGGACAAAACGGGGATGTTGGAGTAGTTCGCTACCCGGGGCGCCATTCAAACGGCTTTGCGAGTGCCGGTTTTGTTTGGAGATTCAATAGTGGGGCAGAAGCCACAGGGATCTGCCCTGGGAGCCCACACTGGCCCCGCTCCCGGCCCGAGGAGGGCAGAGGATCACCAGCACTCGGCTTTGTGCTTTTGCTTGGGGTCTCATTCATTTCGGTTCATTTTCTTACGGAATAGTCTGCTTCTAACGGCTTGATTTAAATGGGGGCTTCCTTGCTTATCTGGCCGGGAGAGCGGGTCCGCACCTTCTGCCGGCTCTGCACACCGAGGTCTCTTCAGCTGTGGGAGCTGTGAGCACCGCATGGAAATATTCACGTCGGCGTGGGCCCGGGTGGGCGCTCCTTCCCCAGCCGAGCTCGTCAGGCCTCGTCCCCCCGCCGTCCCTGGAGCCCCCCCGGCGCTCAGCCATGTCCGCCCGCTGCGCCCGCTCCAGGCGCTGCCGGCAGCCGTGTGCCAGCGCTGCCGGGGGCCACGAGCCTGCGCATGCTGCCAGAGAACCGGGATGTCCTGCGGCTCCCCCGGCTCCCCACAGTGTGCGGGAAGAGCTGGGCAGGTGTGCGGAGGAGGAGGAGGAGGGCAGCTCACCGCAGTGGGAGCTGGGGCCAGGCTCGATGGGGGTGGTGTGGTGGGAGCACCCGCAAAGAAACCAGGGTTAAATGCGAATGTGTGGCTTCATTCCTGGTAGGAGACTGCATCTCAAATTCCTCTTTTAATTCTTTTTGTTTGGGACTTTGGCTCCCGGGCGATGTCACTGTGCTCTCTCCATTGGCGGGTGCTGGGTCTGGGGTGCCCTCTCGGTGCCGGAGGGGTTTCAGAGAGGTTACCCGCGCTGACACCCGTGGCGAACTTGATCCCTTGTTTGATTTACATGTCACATCATCCACATTCCCATGGCAAATGACCAAGATGCTGCAAACATAAGCCACGGTGGCAAACATAAACCACGGTGGCTGGGGAGGAGGGTGTAAGAACGTCCTCGTTTGCTGCCCACCGCGCGGGGACAGGCTGGGACAGGAGTGCCGCTCCACAAGTGCAGCAAACGACTCGCTTTCAGTCAAACCCAGCACTGCGAGGTGAGCGGCGGTGTTTGTCCAAGGGGAGAGTTATGGTGCAAGAGCTATTTTAATCCTGCGGTGACTCACGGCTAACCCATCGTGACTCACCGCAGAGTCTGGTTGTTTGGCTGTTTTTTAG